TGGGAGTGCTCCCAAACTGATAAGTAGGCACTTCCCTTCATTAACATGATTGCAGCAAGAACAGAGGTGATGTGATAAACCCCTAAATCTTGTGAAGCATATAAACCAATGTTGCTCTTGCATGGAAATGTACACAATACAAAGCATGTAAGCTGCCCAGTATCCATCCACAACCAAGACTAAGAATCTGACTTACCCCTTAAAAGTTCAGCCAAAAAATGTACAATGCTGATGGAAACAAAACCAAAAGAAAGACAAGGAAAAGAGGCACATTGTTGTATAGCAATCAGTGAAAGACAAAATTTCAATGAGGTTTTCCCTTTCATTCCTTTAGCTTTTCTTCTCCCATTTTCCCCATTTACAGGCCATGGGAACAAAAGTCACAATGCCTTTAAGAACAAAATAATGTTGCTAACCTGTGGTTTAGTATGCTACCCCCCTTTTTTGTATTTAATTGCGTTTTATTTGCTGTATGGTGAATGAAAATACCAAAGGCTCTTTAAGCACAAGATTTGCCAATATGAATAAAAGCTAGTGGATCAAATGCAAAGCAGAAGTCAATTTTGAGTTTGCACAGCAAACAAGAAAAATAACAATAGTGTAGTTCTCTGTTCAGAGAGATAATTTTCTTTACTAAATCTGCTTGATGTCTTGAAAGCGTTTTATCCAAGTTCCTGCTGCTTTATGATTATAGAAACTGAATTTACTCTGAACTTTGTTCGTAGAGTAACAATCCCCCACAGCTATCAACCCAATTTGATTTTCTAGAACCAAGTGACAATGTGGCTATGCAGACGGGCAAAAAGAGTTGCTTTCAGGTTGACTTGAAGGTGTGGCGTTTAGACGATGCACGCTTAAAAGCCAGCAGGAAAGCACCCTCTAGGCATCATATGCCGGGAAAAGCCACTCTTAAAAAGAACAGCTTTTTCCCGCTTCTTCAGCAAAGATGCTCACCTTTGCATTTGTGTATGTATGCAGCGACACCAGTGCGCTGGAAAAAGGGCACTGGAGATCTTAAACGGCCGTATAAATGCACCGTCGCATGTGCAGCGGAAATTGAGTTGGCGATCCAGAGCATGCGCCCTACTGTTCTCTATTATGACAATAAATGCATTCCGTTGCATGTACGGTTGCTGTCAGCATGTACAGTAGTTTGCATGAAAGAGGCTTTTGTGACCTCTTCTGTGCAGGTGTGCATAAGATCTGCATACACCTTCTGGCTCCTGGAATAACGTTTGTCTGTGTGTTTCCACACAGGGTTCTTTGTCCTCCTATTTCCCAAAGCAGGAGGATGTTGTGTCAAAGGGAGACAACAGTCTCTAGTTTCAGGAGTAATGTGCAGGAGGAATCCGGGGGTTCTCCATCCTCCTAACTCCCAAAGCAGGAGGATTTTGTGCAATGGGAGACAGCAGCCTCCAGATTCAGGAATGGGTTGCAAGAGGAATCCAGGATTTCTTTGTCCTCCTGGATTCCAGGAATCACTGGATTCCTTCTATGTCCCTACTTTCTGGCCACACCATCTCTTCCACTGAGCAAATTGTGTCTTAACAGGATGCGAACACTACATCCCATTTCTGCCAAAAGGCAGACATTTGGGGAGCAACAGTGGTGTCACTAGGGTGGTTGTTGTGGTATCACCCCACTTATGGTGTCACCCAGTGTCACCCACATCCCTTAGTGATGCCCCTATGGAAAGGTATGTATGGAATTCCTAAAGCTAAGCCCGAAGGGCTTGCTGTGTAGATCCACCCGATTCCAGTGTTGCATCCAGTTTATGCAAAGATGAGTCCTGATGGCGAGAGCAGCTGCAACATGGCCCTGAAGAATGAGCTGAAAGTAAGAATGCAATCTCAGCATTGGCAAATGGTAGAGCCGGCCAGATCTGCACGATAAGACTTTCCGGGATTTGCATCTCCTGCCCTACCTGTCATCCTTAGCATGATATTTGCTGCCTTAGGCAACTGATGATGTAGGGAAGGGATTTTTTTTCCATCTCAAGGGAAAACAGCAGTTTAATATGTAGCCTGTATAAGCTTAACAATATCCGATTATGGGCTGCACTGCCATATGGGTGCCAGCAGTGTGTACCTGCAAGATATTAAGCTTGCTAGTTGGCCTGCTTTTTGAGTGCATAAGTGCATTAGCTCAATAAAATCTCATTTAAAATCTGGCACAGAACGGTTGCATAGATCCTTCACCTCTCTGCAAGTGGTTTTCGTTGCGTAAAAACGTGCCATTGAAGGGTGTTGCTAAAGATGCATCTGTCTTTTCTCCCGCTTAGTACTCCTCAGTTTTGGATCAAGGCAGAACTTGGAAAGATTTTCTTTTTCAAAAATGCAGTTGGCCTTCTATATTATTTATCCACTGATCCAAGCGTCTATGGCTTAATAATAATAATAATAAAAATATAAATTCTGAAAAGCAAACCTTGATTATGCTTTTTTATATAAGAGGCATCATTTTTCTAAGCCATTGTATTTAATGGGACTTGAGCATCCATGGATTTTGGTATCCATGGGGGGATCTGGAACCAAACCCAGTGGATACCAAGGGCTTACTGTACACCAGTAGTAGTGCTAAAATATACATCTTTAGCATGGCAGCCCCAATAGTAAAATCCCCATGGAGAGTCCAAAAATGCACCTGGCTATACATAAATCCCATTTCTAAGTTTTCAGCTCCACTTTCAGTTTTCAGTGGTAGGGAATCATGGGAATTGTTTTTTTTTCTGAGACATTGAGCCTTCTCTGTCAGAGAGCTCTGGTGCCACAATAAAATACAGTTCCCATGATTCCCTAACCCTAACCCTAACCCTAACCCTGAAAGTGGACTCAATTTGCACTATTTCTGGCTGTCTGCAACCCCCCGAAGTTGGCAGCATGAGCTTTCGTAGAGCTTGGTGTGTCTTATTTCCTCAGATGCATATTGTGGAGTGGAAAGCTCCGCTTCTGTGCATACGTTGGTGATGCTGGTGGGAAGATAACAGCATTTCTTGACCAAAACACCTGGATGATGCCAAGTTGGAGAAGCTTGGAGGAGAGTAACAAACTCTGCTAGTCCAGAAGTCCCAGAATTTGGGAAATTGACTCTTGTGAATTAGAGTGGCCATGCCTAGGAGGGATGCTTGGAGCTGTAGTCCAAAGAAACAGTTGGGAAAGCTTTGCATGGGGGTAGTGATCTGAGTGTCTGGACTATGACTCTGGAGACCAGGATTTGATTCCCAGCTGGGCCATATGTAACCCACTTGGGCAAGTCACACTCTCTCAGTCTCAGAGGATGGCAAAGGCAAACCTCCTCTGAACAAATCTGTCCAAGAAAACCCCATGATAGGGCTGGCATAAGTTGGAAATGACTCAAAGGCACACAACGACAACAACAAATAGTGTCCTGTTTTCAAGCTATACTCCCTTTCTCGTTTTGGGTGGGTTTTTCCCCTCTCTGTATGTTTTTATATCAAAATTTTCCACAAGACAAGGCAAGAATGGCTAAAGTTTCTGTATGTTAGTCTTTTTTTTTTTGTGCCGCATAATGAGTTTTGTGGTTTCCATTTGCCTGTTGATACTTTAAATTCCACATGTTTTGAATGCCGCAGAAAGGAAGCAGTGACTGACACCTTACGCGAGGGTTAAAATTAGTCATTTTCTGTGAGCACAGTTGGAGATTTTTGCTCACCAGGTCACTGAGCTGCTGCAAAACACACCAAGGTGTTGGGAGTTGTTAAAAGTTTTAAAATAACAAGCATCTTCAGGCCTTAATTTTCTTTTCTTGTTTTAAAAGTGAGCCAGAAATGTTATTTGGGGTTGTCTGGATATGTATGGCATAATTGGAGGCAGGTCAGGATGCATGCAACCTCTTAGGTAGATCTGTTCCATACTCCTGGAAATGGAAATTCCTATTTATAATTTCCTCTTATAATGGCTTGGAAGTGAAACAAGACCACCCCAAAAGTAAGGGAGTGACCTATAAAGAGCTCTCTCTAGGGCTGAAGAAGGAAGGGGAGATGATTTATTAGATATGCATGTTTAAAAGAAAATATTTCAATCACTCTGGTCAACCCTGAAAACTTGTGTGTCCTAGGATCAGGATTGCGGGGGGAAACCCCATAGGTTTTTTAAAAAGAATTCCTCAAAAAAAAAATTATTTTTTGGGGGGAGGTTGTTTAGTTTTGTTTCTTGCATTAATGTATGGGACTACACCAATATAGGACTAAATCAGAAAATGAAGTGGCGAAATACAGTTCAGATGTTATGGCTGCTAGCTGGAAAAAAATGCATGTTGTTTAAAAAGTGCTCTTTTAAAGTAGGTTGGTTTGGTTAGACTTGCGTTACCAGAAGGATTTGTTTCTTTTTAAAATAAATAATAATATTTTATTAGCTTTACAAAAAGAAAAAGCATTTAAAACACACACACAATTAACAGCGCATACTTATAACATTACTTTGGACCTGTACTTTGCACACATTAATATCTTACTTAC